AGAAACCACAAGCAGGTCTCTAGTCCCAGAGACGAAGGCTTTTCGCAAATGGAGCGCCTTACTGATGGATCCTGCTCGCCTCGCCGTCGAGTCGGACTTCTTCCGACAAGGCCCCGCCCAGGGATGGCATAGGCGATTGCTAGTAGACAAGTTTGAGAACTACGGTGATTTGGCTCTATGGGCTTGCCTCTTAGACTACCAGGTGCGCATCAATGGGCCCGCCGGGGTTTTGCACGTTTGGAAGGCACTCTGGGGTCGCAAGACGTTATATGATGTCGACAGCCCCTTGGCCGGGATGTTCTGGCGCATCATACTCGAAGGGGCACTTGTGTCTAATGACCTATCCCTCCTAGAAAACATCTGGATTTATAGCGAATGGATGTGGGATTTGCATCGAGTCAGGTGGCCACAACTATATAGTACTGTCATAAAACATCTCCTTCGGACACACCAGCACCAGCGGGTTGTTCAATGGAACTTGCGACTGACACCTAACTTCTACCCTGGTGCAGATGAGTTTGCGAGTATTATGAAGGAGTTCGCCCTCGATAAAGAACTTGATCGGTTCGATACGCTCCCATCGCTCTACAAGACAAGCCCTGAGAAGGCCCTGTATAATACCTTGCTCCCCTATCTGTTCAACCAAGGAGAGTCGAATTTGGCCAGGAGATGGCGGCGCCTCTGCATTCGACATGGCGAAAAACCCCTGGCGCCAGCACCGATCAGACCTTTTCTTCGATTCATGACCGGCTACCACCCCAATGACAAACTTACACCAGAAGAACTTGCTGTTTTGAAGTTCACACCCAAATTGGCCGAGGAAGATGAGAAGCCCGTTCTATCTCGAGAATTCATGAATCGCGTTCATGGACGAACGTTCGGCATTACTGTCAAGAACTACAATGATCGACTTGGTGCTAAGTGGTTTGCTAGTTCTTGGGTAAGTCTAGATGTGGCAATCTCCACGATATCCGCCCTTGGTATCGAAAAGATCGGACCGTTGTCTCTGCAGTCTATTGCTCTCAGAGCAAGAGGCGCTGAAGGATTGTTGAACCGTATCTCTCAGCTTCGAGAGCATGGGATCTCCGTCATAGATTCAAACTACTTGCAAGTAATCCTCTACCTAGCAAGGCAGAACGATAACGAGCTTCTGTATAATGTTTTACAGAGTGATATTCATCCTGACGTGTTCGATGATATCAACCTCCAGACACAACTAATCGAGTCTACCACGGCCATATCGGAGTGGCGGACTCTTCGGCTACTGCTAGTCTCCAGGCTTGTGGCATTCCAACGGACGGCTCGAGGCGTAGCCAATAGTGTTTTGCGGCTTCGCTTTCACATGAGAGATGGCGACGGCGTGCTGCAAATCCTTGCGGACATGAAGGCAAGGAACATCTCGCTCAATGTCGAGGAGGCAAGCCATATCTACGATAGTCTAATTGAGGACTACAATCATGGGCAGAGAGTTCTCACTTCACAATCTGCTGCATTTTATCTTTCTATATTTCGTCAATTGAAATCAATGGATATACCGGTACCTCTGAGCCACTGGAAGCTCATTATGCTTAGCATGGCTCGGCGAGGGCGGCAGGAGGACCTAGAAAGGCTTTCTGTCGAGTTGGTAGATATGTTCATCAATTCACCGTCGATGCGCCCGAGATTCGTGCCCGTTCATACCTGGGATCTTCCCGAAGCCATGAAAGGTCCGCTCGATGGTGTCGAAAATCTCCTAGGCGTCTACATCCCTCAAGACCTCCCGACGAACCATAGCAATCACCCCCTCCGGAAGATATTCAACAATAAAGTGCTCACCGGAATCATCGAAAATGCATTCATCGCCCATCCGGGACAAGGTTTCCGTGCCAAACATGAAGTCGTACCATCTGGAATCCAGTCTCAGACCGCACAAATCACCAAGATGATTTGGCTGCTGCGTATCCTGAACGAGCGAGGGATGTGGCTCCGTTTCAGGACAATTCAGTTCGTCGTGACGAACTGCCTTGTCAATATCTACGGGCCGTCTCCCCCGGCGGACACCCCTCAACGGCTGATGAGGGCGGCCAATACTCTGACGCTGAAGCAGATGAAGACGTTGATAGACAACGCATGGGGAGCTGCGCTGCTGCCGGCATTGGATAGGTTGGCGAACGTCATCCGGAAACGTCCCTCTGGCGGGAGTCTGGACAGTCGCGATTCACTGCAACTAAAAGAAGCCGAAGACGAAGAAGAAAACTTCTCAATGGACTCGACGAAGCAGAGCAAACTATGAATCACGAAGCCTCTCTGTATGAATATATGTGGCGTCATGAACTGTTATGTATACTATAGACAAATATACCCAAACCTCATAGACAAATCTGTATAAAAATGATAGAACTTTGAAAAAAGAAACTCTCTCTTTCGGTTGTGAGCCGTGGGTGCGGGTGGTGTTACCCGCGTCGTTCATTAAATTCTATTGTTACAGGCCTACCAGCTCTGGTATATCGCAGATGCCGGTTCATTCAAGGTACAAAGTTTGTCACAACTACGTCGCGGGCACTTTCTCGCGCATCGTCTGATGCCAGATACTCCGACTGATCGATACTACCCCTCACTTCCATTTGCGCCTACTTGTGCATCCCCTATCGCGCCTCCGTCGTCATTATTGCTATCGCCACCACCCCCTCCGCCGCCGCCGCCACCGCCGCTGCTGTGGAATTTAGGCTTGAGGGCGAGTAGTATTATAGCGCCGACGATGAGCAGTATGAGCAGGAGGATGAGCTTGCGCTTGGTGGTCTTCTTCTGGTAGCCGTCGGCGACGACGAGCTCCTTCTCGGCGGCCTTGACGTCGGTGGCCATGCGCTCGACGTTGTAGTCGATGCGGTCGAGCATGGTGCCCTGGTCGATGACCATGGTCTGCAGGTCGCGGAAGAGGTCGGAGAGCTCGATGATGCCCTGGGCGATGTCCTCGATCTCGCGCTCGCGCTGCAGGATCACGGCGTCGTTGCTGTGCAGTAGGCGCTGCGCCGTCGTCTGCTGCAGCGCCGACTGCGAGTACGAGCGGTCCGCGTCCGACTCGAGGAGGGAGGGGTCCGCGGTGTAACTCGCGGCGCCGAAGGGCGTCGGGGCGCGGTCGCCGCCGGGGGATGCGGTGCCTAGGCCGGACATGCCGCGGAGCTCTACACGGGGATGGGATTAGCGCATTGTCTTCTTCATCAATCGGTCTTGCCCTCTTCTCCGCAGCCTATGGCATAAAGCACAAGCCATCGAACTAGATCCGGTTGTAGTAATGAAAGAGGGGGGGGGGCTAACGCACTCTTCAAGTAGGCGCTCTGCTTCTTGCGAAAGCCGGCGCTGGCCTCCTGGACGCGGCTCGCAAGGCTGATCTGGATGTTCTTTGCCATGACCTCCTCGGCCCTCGTCATAGTGCCAGTCTGCTGGCCGTCGCGGACCATCTGCTCGACGCGCTGGATGCAGCGGTGGCACTCGTGGAAGCCCTTCGTTATGCTCTGGGTCAGGCGCTCGATCTCGCCCTCTTCGGCGCGCTTAGCCTCCTCGTCGTTGAAGCCCGGCAGGACGTGCTTCTGGTGCAGGCGCTCGAGGGTCTGGGACTGACGGGCGATGTCGGTCAGGAGGTCCGTCACCTCGTCGTTGATGTCGGCCCATCGCGGCGGCAGCAGGTCCATCTCGATGACGGCGTCCCCGTCGTCGTGGTAGTCGGCCCCCGATAACAAGCCCTGCGTGTCCTCAGCGCTGCTCCCTCCCGCACCCGCTCCTCCAATGCCGCTGCCGGCGCCGAAGTCCGAGAAGCCATTGCCGCTAGGTCCGGGGCCGTATCGTGTTTTCTTGGCTGGGTGGTGGGCGTAGGACTGGCGGTACGATATATAGCTAGATGTCAGATCATGCCGAGGTTAGTAGCAGGACCCAGAGACAGAGAAAAAAGAAACTGCGTGATTCAATGGAGTGCGTATAACAAGGACACCCACAGATTGGTGCGGTCTCGCCACATGGCGGACGCCGAAGAGGGCTGATGCCGCCGTCAATGATGAGGTGGTCTTTCGCTACGCAATCACGGGGATGGACAGAAGTCGAGGGAACGGAATGCGCATTCGAGATAACGAACGGGAGGCCGCCGAGCTTATGAGGCGCCGCTACAACAAAGCGGTTATGCAAAGTGTAGGCAAGGCGGAATCTGGTTTACAAGAGGTATTGTACAAGCGATAAATTAAGTAAGTAATAGAGGTAGATACTGCCTAGGTAGGTTGATGGATTGGTGTACAGAATGGTAGATAGGTGTGATCGAACTGCCAGCCAGCTAGCTTACAGCCTACAGTTGACGTAAGTCCCCAGGTTCTATATGTAAGGACGCATATGCATAAATTGTCTAATTGGGCTTAGCGCAGTCACTACTTTTGCTCAGATCGGCTCCCCCAATTCTTGCTAGCTACCTAACCTATCTAGGTATACTTATACAAAAAAAATAGACGGTTCTGCACAGATCAGATTGAAGTAGGTATACTTACATGTATCTCATAACCAACAAGTACCTGCGACATGATTCGGTTTATTAGAGGACAGAAGGAATGATAAGTTCAGTATATCACTATACAGCAGAGCAGAGCACAGCATCCCATGGTTTAGTCCTCCTTCTCGGCCTTTCAAGATACCGAGTCGACCTATTACCCCGAGTTTTGAACCGCGCCATATCGCTAACAATCACAATTTCCCTATTACCCACAAGAGTCTAATTCTAGCGCACCTCTCGCTTTGTTGGCGCAGCATTTGGGTATGTAGTCGAAATTATAAGGTAATTTGTATATATCCCAGGGGAGTTTGGAACGTGGCGCGGTGTGTAAGAGTAATTTATGCCCCGCGATGTCTTTAGGCGTAAAAAGCGACAGGATATCGCGACTGTATCTACAACCTGTAACCATGTTGTTCAACCCTTTTCCACTGAATATATATGGAAAAAGGAGGTGATTAACCAAATATGAAAAGATCAGTCTAAAAAAATCAATTTGGGTGAGCGAGGTTCGAACTCGCGCGACTTGCGTCAACAGAAGTTTGGAATAGATCCTTAAACCTGTCGCCATAACCACTCGGCCATCACCCAATCAACTGATGAGTGTTTCTTGACTCATTGTGTAAGCCTCGCCAGATTTGAAAATAATATTTGGAGTGCAACAAGGTACGTTTACAAAATTACTTCAACTTAAGACCTTCTCGAATCTAAACACACGAAATAGGCACGGGGAATTAAATCCTTTAATTCAATCAAACTTTTGTCTGCAAATAACGTAAGTCGTGAGTAGTTCTTCGCGTAGCTTTCGTAAGCTCACCAACATGTTCGCGCACTTCTTTAGAGCTTGGCTTTCAGGGTAGGACAGCTCGTCCAGATATCCAAAACAGCTCAAAAAGAGGTTCAAAGCTACCGAAGCTGATATGGGTGCTAAGGTGTTGCTAGCCCAGCGCCTTGCATTTAAACTACCGACTAGGGAGGCTTTCGTAGAAAGAATCTTCTCAGTACTACAAGAAGAATTAGCCAGGGGTCTTGGGTAGTATCCTCTTCTTCCCCGTCACCGGCGGCAAGAACGGCGACTCGACTGCCTTCTTCTTTCTGCGAGTGTCGCTGATGGGCTCATAAGATCCTGTAATGAATATGCGATATAGGTCGCTAAGTCTCCTGGCTTCTCGTGCCGGACGCGTTCCTCTGATGTGACGGACTCTGATCTTCTCAGTATTCATAGTAGCTAGTCGATGCTTCTAACGATTGTCAGCATTGTTTCCGATTTCCTGGGTATGGGGACGATGACAATAATACGCAATGATTCAATCTTGATGCGCGTGACTCTAGGTTCAGCGATTGTAGGGTCGAAGATAAGGAAACTCAACATACAGTAGCATTTACTACGGTTCTCGCCATAACGGGTTGTAGTGATATATATGTCTACAATCTTGGGTCTAAGGCCATGTTACCTAAGGGCAAGCTCGGCCGACTTTCATGGTATATTATTAGGAAATGGCCTCCCGAGAAAGAAGATATGGTTATGAGCGGCTTAAAGCTGCTTTCAACCATAGCTTCTGTGATGATTACTTAGCGCCCTACAATATTACTAAAAGTAGGTAGTTATAATCACGCTACCTATTGACCGAGTGCCAACATAGTCGTCGATTCCATTACTTCCTCGTCATTATGATTACTGCTAGATACTATCATCACCGTAGGTACCACCCTCCGCAGTGCGGATGACATCAACACTGAGATATTCCTTAGCTAGCCGTCCTATCTATCGAATCACTTTAACTAGCTGTGCTGATTTAGATTCTTAGAGTGCCCCCTGATGTCGATAAAGCTCACTCATTACATAAAGAAATAGTAAGTTTTTCTGGCGGGAAAGAATAGCGTTTGATGAGTTAAGCGCTTCTGTTTCACTATAATACTGGCCCTCTTCTGTTGACAACATCGGGTTTAACTGGACATCTCGTTCTGGTTGTTTTGCCCGTCATGATTGCTCTTTCATATTAACAACCTCCTGGAGAGGCCGCTTGATAGATACTATTAGTGAATATATCATAGGTTCGTTTCGTTTCGTTTCGTTTCGGGATGTTTAGCCCGGGAGCTGAGATGCTCGTCGCCCAGAGTTCACTTTCGTAAGTGATTAAGTCGTTTCCGAGGTAGACATTGCCAAAAGAAAAAAAAAGAAGTAGCAGTCCATTTGTCCAACATGCTGCGAGATTCTCCAACTTACGAATATCTTCATTATCTGATAACTTGCTCCTTGTAAGTCGGGCCATGGTATTATAGTTAAGCGTTTGTTTTTGTGGTGTCAATATTTTTAGTTTTAGCAGCGACTTGTTAGGAAGTCGCTCCGGACGCATAGTAACCTAGGGCTGATCAAGGATTATTGTGATCCTGTGTATTTGTTGTAGCATTTTTAAATTGAAGTATGTTCATGCAGGTCTAGACTGTTTAGCTAAAAGCGGCGTGGCTCATGTAAAGAGACGGCTAGAAGAGCCGGTGCCAGCGACTGGTACGTATTTTTTTACCAGGGGCTGTTCACGTGTGAGCCCAGACAAAGAGGCTGATGCCCAGCATGCAGCGCGACCTATCCCTCCCCCACTCTTTCTCTCATGGTGTAGAATTGGTGTAGAATGTATGTAGAAACATGCTGCGTAGGTGCGCATAGTCCCAAATAGGTCATTCAACAAGGCGTCCAGACAAGGCATCTTATAGGTAATTAACTATATATGTTGTCGTTACCATGCAGAAGGCAGCCTGCCTGTCTGTTGTGGATGGGCTAGCTTGCAAGTGGCCTCCCAGGTGGCCTCTCGTCACCTACCTATGACAAGAGCCGGAGGGGAAGCCTGCCTTATGAAGTATACTGCCTTAGGCACACTATGCTGCCTTAGGTATATGTAGTAGTACATAGTGCAACCTATAGGGGGGAATGCTTCGTGCTAGGTAGGTAGAGCTGTAGGACTTTTAGGCCTCCCAGTTCACTACTGTGGGTGTCTGTGGGCTCATCTATTAGACCACCTAGGTACCTACCTATTACCGCCCTCCACCCCTCCCTAAAATAGCGTCGTCAGCCCTGTCCCTCTATCTTGGACGGCCCATTTCATCCCCCCATTATTATTTCGATACAACTCAGGTGAAATCGAACACACTCTCGTCCTTGACCAACTTTCCTCCCCCCACCACCCCCTACTGGATCTCTCCTTAGCTACGTGCTTTTGCGCTACCTATCTATTGTGTCTTCTCCGTGGTGACGTCTTTTGACACTCGCTTTACCAATATCAATTATTTTCATATCGCATCATGGTCAGTTTACTACGAAAAGCTCTCCAGGGTTCCCCGCCTTGCATAGACTCTTGTTTTGAAAGCCCCGCGCTCGATATCTCGACATGCTGTTTCTACGGCGTCTTGGCTAACGCACTTCTCCTATCCTAGGCCGACTCCCTTACTGAAGAGCAGGTCTCCGAGTTCAAGGAGGCCTTCTCCCTCTTCGTAAGTAAACACCATGTGCATATAGCACCAAGCCACCGGCCATGCTACCCCTGTCCCGTCACTCCTTGAACTTTAATATGTTAAGTTGGCCACATGCTTACCACTTTATGATATAGGATAAAGATGGCGATGGTGAGTTTAACTTTGCACTCTATTTCGATATGGCCAGTCGCACATTTACTAGCATCCCACGAGCGACTCTCTACCGCCGGCCTTGTTGCGCTTTTCTCCCCGCTCTACAGACTTTGTTCGCTAGGCGTTAGTACGATGGGCGCTGATTGAAATCCGCGCCATTAGGACAAATCACGACAAAGGAACTAGGCACCGTCATGCGATCGCTAGGACAGAACCCCTCCGAGTCAGAGCTACAGGACATGATCAATGAGGTTGATGCCGACAACAATGGGACCATTGACTTCCCCGGTAAGACATTCGTGTCACTCGCCGCAATGCTAGGCAGCAAGCTGATTTGTTGGTCGCACAGAGTTCTTGACCATGATGGCTCGTAAGATGAAGGATACCGACTCCGAGGAGGAAATTCGAGAAGCATTCAAGGTCCGCACACACTGCTGTCCTCGTATAAGCACGCCGATAGAGAGCTAACATGATGACCAGGTTTTTGACCGCGATAACAATGGCTTCATCTCGGCCGCTGAACTTCGACACGTCATGACCTCTATCGGGGAGAAGCTCACAGATGAGGAGGTTGACGAGATGATCCGCGAGGCTGACCAGGATGGCGATGGCCGTATCGATTGTACGTTCTACCACGTCGCAACAGTCCCAACCCCCATCGATGTGTTGTGCTAACGGCGACGACGCGCAGATAACGAGTTCGTACAGCTCATGATGCAAAAGTAAACTTCATTCGGTCCTGCAGCGCAAGCATTTTCGTAGCCGATTCTTACCCAATACATATGATGACGGGCTTTTATCATCTGTTTCTTTCCCCCTGACATAGGAAGGTCGGAGCTGGAGCTGGAGTTGATTTGTGTTGGCTGGAGGTCTAATGGCTCTCGCTGTGTGGCTTCCCTCCGAGGTAGCATGCAGCTTGATGAACCTGAAATGGAATAAGTCCCTTAATGCGGCCCTATCTCCATTTCTCCGGATCTCCTTTTAAAAGGGGACTGTGGTAATTGTGGATTGAATCTATATCTTGGTCCAATTGCTTCTCTGTTATTGAGAGCCGTACGCTGGCTCGATCTCCTTTGCTCCGTTGATGTGCATGCCGTGTTTGCTGTAGCGTCGTGGTGAATTGCCGTTTTATAGCTGTAAAGGCACTGCTATCCTTGATTTACTATACTAATCACTTTTGTGTGTTTCGGCAAGGTTTGTGAACAAGACAATTTCAAGTACGTAGGTAAACAATTCTCTGCTACATTTCTTAAAATAGGTAGTCAATTGCGAAACCAATATAGCCATGCTCACAACTCAGTAGGCCTTACGTTTTTCAACTTAAGGCAGGAGTATATATAAACAAGCTTGATGTGTGTTCACTTTTAAACGTGTGTGACATATCACTTTTATTATTAAAGTATCTCACTGCATATACATTTTCTCAACCTCCCCACGTAACAATTGTCACTAGATAACCTACTAATAGGTACCAAATGTTACACGAGGTGCCCAGTTGGTTGGTTAATGGGAATATCATCAGCTACGGTACTTATCTCCGAGTATCACTTACACATAAACTTTTTCGCAGCATCCACCTTTAATAGTCTACAGATAGATACCTACCATTCATATGCAAAACCAGCCACTTTCACATTACCTAGCTCATACAATTGGGAGGCACCAGAGGTACTAGAGTCGGATAGCCTGACATAATGCCTATCTAAACCCGAAAGTCATGTAGATACAAGTTTAGGTAAGCGGCAGTCTCGGCCGAGCGCAAACAATGGGACAATAGGACGCCGGGCGTGGTCGGAGCTTCGGTTGCACTAAAAGGCCACCGATAGACCGATAGACCCATACTACATACCAAAATCTATACCTAGGTACTTAGTTAGGTACGTACCTATACTTCTATATGACGGCATTCCGCATTTGTTACTTACTGCCTACATTGAATTTTCTTTTCTGTAAGAAACCCGCTCGGTGGC